GGTTCAACTTCTGAGATTCAGATCAAGTTCTAAGTAATTTTTTTCCAAACTGGTTGGTTCGACTTTTAAGAAATTCGAGTTCTAATGAGATCGAGAACTGAGGTACCACTGTATGTGGTTATGCCCAAGAAAGAAGCAGGCGAGTTGGCCTTTGGGACCCGAAGCATGGTGCGTGAGTGAAGTGGGCATATGCCCTCAGCAGAGAGGTGGAACTCCACATACTCGATGGCTGAGGCCTCAACAACACACTTTTCACCATTTAGTGTAAGGTGATGCTCAGCTAATGCCACAAACACGCTATGGAGGCATTCGTCATCCACTATGATGGTGGCGCCTCCATGGATGATGATGTCGTATAGGTAGAAGGCCAGGCCTGAGATTCCAGCGAAGATGGAGGCCATAGTTTTCTGGAAAGAACCTGGGGTTGAACTCAATCCAAAAACCAGGCACTTGTAGCAGAAGACTCCTTTGGGTAATGAAGGCATCTTTCAGGGTATAGGGGTACCTGGAGGTAGCCCTGGAGGAGTTCAAATTTGGAGAAAACGTCAGACCCATGAAACTGGGCAGTGAGCTCCTCTATGGTTGGCATAGAGTATCTATCAGGTATTATAGCTTTGTTCATCGCTCTCAGGTCCACACAGATGCGCAGCCCCCCATTCTATTTCCTAACCACTTCAGTTAGATATCCAAGGGGAAGTGTTCACCTGCTCAATCAAGCCATCATAGAATAGGATAGAATAGCCACTGTTATTGTCATTCAGAAATACACTGGTTAGTGCACATCAGAACGAAATTACGTATAAATAGTTTATTAATCCCTGTGGGGAAATTGTCTTTACACCTCCCTTAACTTGCTCTTTGTCGAGTAAGTTGTCCGCAAGGGGCAGCTGGGAGTTAAGGGCCTTGCTCAAGGACCCATAGACATACTGAGGCTGGCTTTGAAGCGGTAACCTGATTACAGACACACAGGCTTAGCCCACTGAGCCACATGCTGCATTAAGCATGCACTGTAACTCAGCAGAGATGTCGTCGCACAGGGCCAGGGGAGAGTGTCGGAGTGGCTGCATAATAGGTGTTACTGTTGGATCTATCAGGGGTTGGTGGGTGAAGCCGATAAGGCAGCCCAACTCACTGTTGCAGCCAGGGGTTAGTGACAGCATGGATCTCTGAACCATTTGTGTCTAACAGGGTAAAACCTAGGCCATTGAAGAGGTCAAGGCCAAGGAGATTGGCCCTGTGGCATGACAAGTGGAATGTGATTTCGACAAGGTTTTGTCTCCATACCTTATGGGTAGCTGAAGAGAGCCCACAATATCAATTTAGGTACCAATATAGCTGCGTAGGGTCATGGAGGCTGGTTGAGTGGCCTGTGGGAAAAGAATCGTTTACAAGTTGTAAAGTTCAGCAGTGATACTCTTTCTTCTGTGTCGAGGAGGAGGGTTCATCTACCATTGGTCAACATGTTCTGAGTGACACTCATCCTGAGTGAACAATATAAATTACTGTTGCAGGGCCAGGTGCATCTGGGCATCGCCGGGCTCTGGCTGGGGCAGACTTACAGATTTTGTGGAATTGGTTGCGCTTCCCACAGTTGGAGCAAGTTTTCCCGCAAGCAGGACAGGTTTGTGCTTGTGAACTGTGTGTGGGAGAGCGACAGTTCCCACATGGCTGGTGTGAGCAATCACGAGGTTGCGAGGCTATTTGTGCACTATCTGAGCTGCTAGCGGCATTGGTGGGGGGAGTCGATGACTGTGGCTGGGTAAAATAGATTGGCCACGTACTGAGATACAGACTTATCCACTCGTTGGTGTCGGTGCCTGAATGAAACACGACGGAGAAGAGAGCTCTTCGGGACAGCAACATGTTTTCCGAGTAGTCTCACTTCCTGATCATACCTGGTAGTTGTAGCGGAAGTTCCGAACACATGCTGTCCCTCAGCTCCGAGACGAGCAGCAACACTGCATGCTTCCTCCCATCTGACATGCTGTCTAAGCCAGCAGTGAGGTTTCAAACAAGGATCCCCAGTGATTCCATGGCACGGGCATTATCCAGGTAAAGCTAGGAAGGGGGAGGGTGGAGGCAGAGAAGAGTCACACTCACACAGCGTGGGTATGTGGCCAGGGAAGATGATAAAAGTGTTGACATATTTTAGGAGAGTGACATCCATGTTCATTTATAATTACATTATTCAAAGTGGAAAGGCTAGAATAAATGTAATAATGACCATAAAATTAAATGAAAAAACATGTTCAGTAAAGTGTAGTTCGAAGAATGGACCATGGGGTACAATACACCCCATTTGATTTTCAGAATATGTATTTCTATACATCTTTATTAATGATTGTACCGTGTCCATTTACCACCAGTATCTGAAAGCGAGCAACAGCTATTGGCCATGAAGCGCACATAACACTCAAGTATTAATTACAATTTGCCTGTAGCTGGAGATCCAAGGCGAGTGCAAGAAATGCTATCAGCTCGAAATGCTGAATAAAAATATCATTATAGCAGAGATCGCCACTTTTTACAGATGTTAATATTTATTTAAGACAGGCACTGCATTTCTCTCTGCCCAGGTTGCACTAGCAATACTATTTATCTGATTTATTCCAGTAAAATCATGGACAGCCTTAATGGGCAGCTGATTTGAGGCTTTGTCTAACAGCACTTATCACCTTGAACCACTTCAAGGCATTCAGTAACCTCAAATTATACTAAAGTATCATTTGTTTTTCAAAATATTGGTGATAGTTTAATACTTCTTACAAAACTTTGCACAAAACTGATAGCAGCAATGTAGGAGGATAGCAGGTACGAAGAGGATGCTAGCATGCTAACCAAGAGACAGCTAAACAATGTTCGAGCAGAAATTGAGGCTGTGGAGAGTATCGGCAAACTTTTGGATTAGCAAATACACCTAATGTTGAAGAAATCAGAGCTCGAGGTGGTTCTGGAGGAATCTCAAGCTGCGGGGCTGACGGTCCCCCTGCACTCTGGAGGGGAGTCTGGCTGCGGGAAAATGCTAGGGTGTGAGTCTGCGGACACACTGCCCACGAGGATGTGATCGATCTCCTTTGCCGTGCCACCAGTATTGGAATATCAAGTCCAACGATGCGGCTCAGGGCGTTGGAACCAGGATCCAGCGACCTACAGCCCCTGACCTTTCGCAAAGTCAAGAAACATGGAGTCACTTTCTCCCCAATTACCAAACCCGTGGAGACCAACACAATCCTCATAGCCAGCCCTGTCAGTGCCAGTGGTTGCACTGAAGTCACCCATGACCAGAGGAGTGTCACCTCGTGGGCACCCATCAACCACTGAGCGAGTTTCAAAGTAGAATCTCTCCCTCAACTAGACATCACTCACCGTGGTCGGAGCATACACTGAGACAACAGGCATCCAAAGAGTGCCTTAGTTTTAGTCTCATGATACGCCCATTTTAAGGAATGACATCGGACACCATTGGGAGGAGCTGATCTGTCACGGCAACAGCTATTCCCTGAGTATGGCAGCCATCAGAGCGACCAGACCAATAATAGGTGCACCCACCTACGGAGGTCTGCCCACTCACCGGTCTGCGTACCTCAGAAAGTGTCGCCATTGAAATGCAGAGTTTACAAAGGTCCTCCAACAGCAGAGGAAGATGGTCATCTTGCCGGAGAAACAATAAATGGGTGTAATGTGGCCTGAGAACTTGACCAGTGGTACGCCAGGACATCTTACAAGAAAAAGGAGAAATTCTCTGAAAAGTCCTCAAAACACTTGCCACACTTTGCAATACATTTTAGGCACATTCAGGGGTATTTTTATGATATGAACAGATTAAAAGTCAAATTAGTGTGTAGATTCTGTTTGTTTGTTTTTTTGTAACTCGTACACCGCTTTGAATAACAGCACTTTTTTGGGGGGTGGGGGGAGGTGAGGAAACATTGTGGGGTATCTGATGAAGAGAACAAGGTAACAAGTCAGTGTTTTATATACAAAGTTGATTTTTTACTCCAAGCCCTTATCTTTTTAAATAACCATATCTATGAATTTTTGAAGATGAAAATTAACCTTGACAATAGAAACTTAGACAAATCATATACCATGAAAAAGCATTCTTTCTGACCTTTCCACCGAGCCATAACAGCCATGTACCTGCAGTAGCAAAAAGTTAGAGCTCCTAAGAAAATAATGTGGATTTTTTTTTTTTGCTGGTGTAGAACAGGAACTATTTCTGAATGGGATTTTTGTCTTAACAAAAAGGGCATTTCTGAGCTCTGAAAAGTATATGTAATTAACATGCCAAACTTCATCATTATCAAAAATGGTTATACAGAGCCAATTTTTTTTTTATTAAAATGATCAGCTTACTGTATGAAATTGTTTGTGCATCCATCCAGATATCCATCCATTTAATCAGTACAGGGTCACAGTCACCTGAGTATGAAATGAAGAAAAGTAATTTTGAGTTGTGTTCTACATGCTGGTAATACTTTGATATGTCTATCCTACAAACTTACTAAATTTTACTTCATTGTATTTTGCTTTTTCAGAAACAAGCTGTTTGTACCAAACAGAGGAGCGAGGCCAGATGCTTTTAAGGTCTTACTGGTCATCACAGATGGAGAGACCTATGGAGACAGCACTCCCTTAAGTGATGTGGTTAATGAGGCTGAGAGGAAAGGCATCATCCGTTACGCCATTGGGGTACTTTGAATTTAGTGATTAATTGTCATTGTTGACACCACAGCAAAATGTGTTCTCAGCGTTTAACCCATATGTGACATAGCAGTGGGCAGCTAATTTAGTGCCCTGGGAAGCAGTGCTTGGGGTCAGTATCTTGCTCAGGGTACCTCAGTGGTGCTTTGCTGGTCAGGGATTCAAACCTGCAGTCTTTCAATTACAAGTGCGCTACCCTAACCATTAAGCCATCACTGTGTGTCTGTAGTTAGGTCGCCGGTTCAAACCCAGCCACAGCACGTCTGCGGGTCCTTGAGCAAGGCCCTTAACCCCCCGCTCCCTGGGCGCCCCAACAGGTGGCTGCCCTTCGCAGACAGCTTGCTCTACAAAGAGCAAGTTGAGGGATGTATAAAAAAGAATTTCCCCACAGGGACAATAAAGGAAAATGAGAGTCATTATGTTTAAGATAATGCATATGAACCATGGAATTTATTTATTCACATCGCTCAATAGACTCAAAAAATTAAAATGATGAATCAATTGCAAGGCAAATTTCTTTACAATTCCAGCTAATAAAGATTTTGTATCAGACCCGGGCAGAACACCAGAGACGGGACCCAGAATGCGGGAGATAACGGGTTTATTAATAAACTGAAAGCTGGAAAGTCCAAAGGGCAAGGCGAGAGACGTAGTCGGGGATGTAGCGAAGAGGTCGAATGTCGGGGTGGTCAATCCTACACAGGCACGCCGGACAGGGGGATGGGCAGGACAGGAGGCAGGAACAGGCAGGATGCAGGATGACAAGAGATGCGGGACAGGCGGGCGAGGAAGACAGGGCAGGAGAGAGAGCAGGAGACAGAGACAGAAGACAATAAACTGCTCAGCAAGGCACATTAAAATAATGGCAACAATACTTTGCAAGGAATGCTGGTCAGGACCGCCCTTTTAAAACTGTGAGGGGCGGTCCCTCTCCATGTTGCTTCTGCTGTGGGGCGTGGTCCCAGGCCCCGATGTGACATTTTGGTTATATTATTCAGGTTAAGAGCATTGTTGGTTAATAACAAAATAAGATATAATTTCTGAAAAATCTGCAATTATTTTCCTGTAACAATTTGCTCTTTTGCTAGTAGTACTCTGACCTTTTGATATTATCAATTATCACTGCAGGTAAAGAATTATTAAATATAATTACGCTTGATGACATATAATTACACAAACATTATTAGCTTGATTTATATTGATACCCATATATATTTAATGAAGTCATTGCAACTTATAATAAACCTATTATTTTCTGTCTTGGTCGCCACAGGTTGGTAGGGCTTTCCATTATTCCAGTGCACTACAGGAGTTGGAAACTATTGCCTCCAATCCCATTCAAAATCATTTGTTTCGGGTGAATGACTTCCAAGCTTTGGATAACCTTAGGGGCTCACTAGAGAAAAGTATCTTTTCTATTGAAGGTATTGTAATTCTCTGTGTTTCATGTTTATAATGTCACATCATTTGCTTTCAATTTGCCATTATCTTTTCATTTATCCCCATTTCAATACATTCATTGATGTATTTAGTAATTCACAGTACTGTCTGTATTTCCTGGATTTCAAACAAATAAGTTGATATCATCATTAACACTATTATCATTAGCAGTAGTAGCAGCAACAGTAACAGCAATATTAAACGTGTACAAATTGAACTGATCCATCACCCTTTCTTTTTAGGGACATCATCAGGAGAATCTTTTAGGATGGAATTAGGTCAAGAGGGATTTAGCTCAGCTTTCATGCCCACGGTACACATCCTTTCTCTAAAGCCCTATTACCTGCTTCAGTTTTTTTTCTGGTACATTAAGTTGAGAATGTATTTGTTATTGCAGCTGCATTGCTGTTGTTGCTGTTTTCTTGTTTGTTCAGGGAAAAGTCCTGTTAGGTGCCGTTGGGGCATTTAACTGGAAGGGAAGTTATCTGATGGGAGAGGATGTTTTCGACAGCAGTGTCAGTGTGGAGAATGACAGTTACACAGGTACAGCATCCCTGCGTACAAATAATAATATTTGTACATTGGTTATCCATCACGTCTAACATAGAGACAGAAGTGCAGGCTGATTGTATTTTACCAACAAAAATCACAACAAATGTTGCCTGAAACCTAAAATGTTTGTCAAACTCATTATGTAGACACTTGCCTGTCTTGTTTTCAGACAAATATGTTGCAGATTAAACACAGAAAAATGCATTAATATTACGGTTCATTGACCCAAAGGCTATTTGATTCGATTATGATCATAAAGAGAACAGTTTGATGCGCTGGAAATCTTTAATTCTATCACGATTCAATTTGACTAATCAATTATTTCATAGTTTTGATAACATTAATTCAAACCTTTTTTTACCTTCACTTAAATTTCACAAATATTACCATGGAAACTTAATTAACTATGTTACCCCACCCAGATTGAGGAGTCCAGGGTCCTCACCCTGGAGCAAGGTGTCATGCTCCGATCGTCTGCTCCTCTCGTGTGCCATGCCCCCTCATTAACCCCATGTGGATTCCCCGTGTTTACCAGCTGTTCCCGATTGTTGCCGATTAGTCCATTATATTTAGTCCGCGTTTCCGTTTGTTTCCCCAGTCCGGTCATTGTAATGTCGATCTGTGTGTTGCCTACTCCTTCGTGTTTTGTCGCTCATTAAACCCCATATTCCCCTTATCCTACGTCTCCTCGCCTCTGCTTCCCTGGTCATTGTGTGACACAAGGCCTTGGGGGGGGGGGGGAGGTGGGGTAACAGAGGTAAGAGTCTGGTGGCCAGATCTCCACCCATGAGGCCCGGCCGGGTATAGCCCGAAAGGAACAACATGGGTCAGCCCTCCTGTGGGCCCACCACCTGCAGTGGGAGCCATGGAGGCCTGGTGTGATGTAGATTGGGTGACAGTAAAACGTAGGGGCCTCAGACTAATCATTGGCTACCAAATCTGGCTCTTGGCAAATGAAATGTAACCTCTCTAGTGGGAAAAGAGCCTGAGCTGGTACAGGGGGGTAATGACTACTGACTATACTGTATATAGTTGAACTCACCTTTACTCACAACTCAGGCTCTGCAACCAAACTCCTAGAGAGAGCCTGGACTCTATTCTACTCTGGAATTGCCCTTGGCAAGAGACTCCCTGGTTCGTTGACTGTACATTGGTGTTCACCCCAGTGAACCAGAGGTTCGCCTCTGGTTCTTTGACTTCGAGTTGGGGGACTTTGTGCATATGTGCTGAACACCAGCTCAGAGAATTTGGCCTTCGTGGAGACCTTGGAAGGCGCCCCTTTTGGGGACTCCATTGTTCTGCTGGGGAACTTTAATGCTAATGTGGGTAATGACAGTGAAACCTGGAAGGGTGTGATTGGGAGGAATGGCCGGCCTGATCTGAACCTGATCTGAAAGCGGTGATAAGTTGGTGGACTTCTGTGCTAACCAGTTTGTCCATAACAAAACCCATGTTCAAATATTAGTGTTCATAAGTACACCTTGCACCAAAGTATCCTAGACTGCAGTTCAATGATCAATTTTGTAATCATTACGTCCACATGTTTTGGACACTCGGGTGAAGAGAGGAAATGAGCAATCAACTAGTCACCACTAAGTGGTGAGTTGGATCTGATGGCAGGGGAAGATGCCAGATAGACCTACGCATAGTCAGGGTATGCTAGGAACATATGGTGGAGGCCCCTGTCTGGGAGATCTTTAACTCACACCACTAGCAAAACTACTCTTACATCCCAAGGGAGTCAGAATGGACTATGTTCTGGGATTCCATTGCTGAGGCAGCTATGTGGAGCTGTGGCCATAAGGCTGTTGGTGCCTCTCATGGTGGCAATCCCCGAACCCAGTGGTGGACAGCACCAGCAAAGGGAGCTGTCAGGTTGAAGAAGGAGGTCTTCCAAGCTTGGTTAGCTTGTGGGACACCTGAAGCATCTGACAGGTACTGGTAGGCTAAGCAGAAAGTGGGTTTAGCAGTTGCTGAAGCAATAACTCGGTTGTGGGAGGATTTTGGTGAGGCCATGGAGAAGGACTTTCAGTCAGCCTCAAAAAGATTCTGCCAAACCATCAGGTGATTCAGGAGGGGGGAGCGAGGCTTTATCCATTCTGTTTAAAGCAGAGAGGGAGAACTCACATTCTCCGGGGCTCTGAGGGTAAATGAGATTCACCATGCCTTCTTGAAAGCTCTTGATGTTGTTGGGCTGTCTTGGCTGTTACGCCTCTTCAACATTGTATGGAGGTTAGGGACAGTGCCTTTGGATTGGCAGACAGGTGGTGATCCCAATCTTTCATAAAGGGGACAGAAGATGTGTTCCAACTTCAGGGGGAATCACACTCCTCAGCCTCCCTGGGAAGGTCTACGCCGGGGTACTGGCGAGAAGGGTCCACCCATTGGTCGAATCTCAGTTCCAGGTGGAACAATGTGGATTCCATCCTTGTCCGGAGCACTGGACCTGCTCCTCACTCTCTCAAGGATTCTGGAGGGTTCGTGGGAGATTGCTCAAGCACTCTACATGTATTTTGTAGACATGAGAAAGGAATACGATTGTGTCCCTTGGGGGTGTGGAGGGGGTCCTTTGACGGGTGCTTCAGAAGTACTGTATGGGGTATGGGATTCGTTGCTACAGGCCATCAACTGCCTATATAAACAGAGGGAGAGTTTGGTCCACATTGCCAGCAGTAAGTCAGACTCATTCCCAGTGGGTGTTGGACTCTGTCAGGGCTGTCCTTTGTCACCGATTCTGTTCATAACTTTTTTGGACAGAATTTCTCGGTGTAGTCAAGGAGTGAAGGGGGTCTGGTTCAATGGCCTCAGGATCGCGTCGTTGCTTTTTTGCAGATCATGCGGTCCTGTTGGCTTCATTGGGCTGTGACCTGCAGCATGCACTGGGGTGGTTTGCAGTGGTGTGAATCAGGATCAGCACTGCCAAATCTGAGGCCATGGTTCTCAACCAAAAAAGGGTGGATTTCCTTCTTCTGGTGGGGGATGAGTTCCTGCCTCAGGTGAAGGACTTTATGTGTCTCAGGATCTTGTTCACGAGTAAGGGAAGAAGGGAGCGGGAGATCAATAGGCAGATCAGTGCAGCGTTTGCAGTAATGCAGACACTGTACCATACTGTTGTTGTAAAGAGGGATCGGAGACGGAAGGCAAAGCTTTTGATTTACCAGTTCATCTACGTTCCTACCCTTTTCATTAGTCATGAGCTTTGGGTAGTAACCAAAATAATGATGTTGTGGGTACAAGGAGCAGAAATTAGTTTTCTCCACAGGGTGTCTGGGGTCAGCATTAGAGATAGGGTGAGGAGCTCAGACATTCGGGAGGGGCTTAAAGTAGAGCTACTGCTCCTCTGCACCAAAAGGAGCCTGCCAACCTGCGGACTAAATATAATGGACTAATCAAGCATGTCCAACCAGGAGGAGGCCCTGGGGCAGACCGAGAATATACTAGAGAGATTCTCTCTTGGCTGGCCTGGGAAACATCTTGATATTCCCATGGTGGAGCTCGATGAGGTGGCTGGTGAGAGGTATTGGAGTAGGGTGACCACCTAATCCATGTCAGGAGGGACACTATGAGCTACTTCAGCTTTTACGAACTACTTTAAAGCTGAAAGGGTTCTGTGCTCTGCTAAAATGTTTGGTTAGTTCCTAGATTAAAAGACTCATCCAGCTGTTTCGCATTAACATTACTGACACATATGCATGATTATAGGAGANTCAGCATACGGCAAGAACCCAGTGCTTAAGTGAAATCCTGGTCCTTTTAATTGAAATGTATGAAATGGTAGTTTACAAATCCTGTTGTAGCTCATAGTGTCCCTCCTGACATGGATTAGGTGGTCACCCTATATTGGAGGTCTGTGCATCCCTGCGACCTGATCCCGGATAAGAGGCAGATGGATGGATGGACTTGATTAGGCCTACACTCTATTAATGAAATACAAAGAAAGTAGAATCTCATAGTATTACTTTTTATAATTGTTCTTAAACAGGGTGAACAAGCCAGTGTAAAACTACACAGCAAATTCAGGTCTTTGGAATAAACTCCTGATGAGTCAAAATCAACTCAATCTAAGTGTACATGTGTGACCATCAAATATACTTCAATACTGAGTTAGAATAACTCTGTTTTTGGAGTTGATCTTTTACTTCCTTTTCAGAGTTAAAGTTGAACTCTTCCTGATGTTAAAATACTAATCCTACACAGAGTAAATTGTAACTCTAAAACTTAGTTAATTGTAATAATAACTATTTATTTACCAGTTTTAAAAGCCAACACTTCAAATATATGTAAGCCTTTTTAGGCATATTATTTAAGACGTTAATTTATATAAAAAATAAATACACTGAGCACCATGTACTTTTCTACACTTTTTTTTATTTAACAAATCCATACTGATTGAATACCTTTTCAAAATGAAGTACCGTCTTTAAACAGTGTCACAGCAGCAAAACATTCCCATTCAAAATGTTATGGCATGTTATGTTATGGCACTGCATGGGCAAATAACAATGAGCAAAAACATTTACAATGCTTACTCAACAATACTTCAGATAATACAACACTTTGACACAACATAAAACTGTGAATCACACCCATATAACATTTGCGCATCAAAACATTTCAAATGTCTTAATCTCTCTCTTTCTGTAACCAGCATCTTTCGGGGTCTGACTTCACTCACCAGAAAAGCATGAAAATGGTCATGAAAACAACTTTACCATTGTGCAAGATTACTGAAGTTATTTTGCTGAAAACTAACATGTCTTCATCAATGTCTGTGCAAACAAACAGTCCAACCCGATACTCAGCTCCATTACATTTTACCCAATTTGTGAGGCTGACAGTGACTTGTGTATCAACATGAAGATATGCCGTTAAATCTTCTGTATGAATCTGTTGAATCTGTAAAATTCTGTAAAATTCAGTGTTTCAAGTAAACACATTTTGACTGGACCAGACTCAACAGCTTTTAAAGTCAAGCATTCCCAGTGATACGCTACTGCAAACTGGTGTTTATTTGCAAGTGATACAGTCAAATTCTTGAAGTTCGTCACACAATCTTTAAAAAACAAGCACACAAATTACAAAATTATTACCATTTCTTTAGGATTCGCTTAATACAAAACATAAACCCACCGGCAAAAAGAAAATCAGAAAATGAAGCTTCTTGCAGCTTCACATACTTCTTTGTTCTTCCGCGTTGTACCTTTATCAACATTTTGATCACCTAGGATAATGGGAAAATATAATTTAAAGTAATAGCTAATGGTCAAAAACAAACGGATGTATCATACAAGTGCTTAAATCCTAAACATGCGCGTTCGTTCGGCGTCGCCTGCAACTTTTACTTGACGTAAATTTCTGCCGAAATGTATGAACGTGAATGTAACGTTATATTGAAGTCAAATCAAGCGTCCTTACCAAACGTAACTTTAATGCGTAGGGCACTCAAAGCTCATTTTTTTTGTAAAAGAAAAATTTAACTGTCAAACACTCTTGTGAAAAGGGCCTTATAGAGTCATGCACCAGAAAAATAAAAATAAACTCTCTCACCTCGTAAGAACTCCTTTCCGTTTCTTCCTATCCGTTGCTCAGAACAGTTTGAAGATGAAAAATCTTTGACAGAAACACGGTGAATAAAAGACACGTAGCTAACGTTGTGTCCGACAAAACTAGCGCCAAAAAAAGAAGCGCCAAACCATCTACATCAGGAGCACACATGCGCCACAATCATCACCGAACTTTAACCCCAAAGCTCGAAACAACCAATAATGTTAAACCATCAACTTAAATATGTTTTAGTGACAAATACTGACATTTTAAAAATAGTGTTTGACAAATTACCTCAAGAGCTGCACCGACCACTGTGCTGAAACTGCTGAGAACCAAAATCATTAACTCCAAGAGTAGTGTAAAACATGCCCACAAACACCTGATAATTTTAACTCTATAATATTACATGATATGGGAGTATTCCTCAACACAAATAGTAGTTAAAGTAAAAAAATCTAACTCCAATAAAGTAACCCTTTTACACTTTTTAACTTAACTCCAGATTTTACAACTCCAGCAATTTGCTGTGTAGCAAACGGTCAATTACTGAATTGCAAAAGAAAAAAAACCCACAAAGTGCTACATGATTAGGGGGGTGGGAGGGAGTGCCAGTGGTGAAACTTGCCAAGTTTACTGGGCCAGATTTGTGGAATGACGTTACATCATGCCTAATTCTGTGGAAAATGGGGAGGGAAAAAAAGCCCCACAAGTCAGATTTTAAAATGTTGCAGGTCGGTACTTTGAGGCCGATATTTAAACAATATATTGTGCATATCAAAGACTAACATTATTTTTTTACTATGTTAGAGTCATTGTTAGAGACCATTGCCAGCAGAGTTAATAAAAAGAAACATTTTTTGTGCTACAAAAAGATAGTGGAGAGAGTATTCTGTGCTACAAAACAGGGGCGAGTTTCCCAAAAGCATCATTGCTCTCTATCAGTATTAATGAATCTTCCCCTGCCATCCTTTATCCTATTCACATGCCAGCACTGCAACTTTATGTGTCTACCTGCAGCATGTGAATGGAAGAGTGCAAATGCTAGAAGTAGAATATATGTATTATTTTAAAATACTAATTCAGAGTGTATGCACACGCATGGTCTTAAACTAGATATTCATCTGAGGTCCCAATGTATGTTTTTTTTGTATGATGTCATGGATCATGTTACAATGACAAGCTATCTCTATCCATTCACATAAGTCCAACTTTTATAATCATATGTGAGAAGCATTATTGCCATATTATTCACATACCCATGCCTCCTGCTTCAGAGAACAGGAACAGTAATTAACACTTATGATCCCTTTTGAGACGGACTTAACATGTGGTCTAGATGGAAAATGGGCCAGACATAAAACATAAGGGAAAAGCGAACCTAAATGTCCAGTCCAGGAAGAACACCAGCACAGAGCCATGAGATAATTAAATAGGACAGTTATTGAGAGAAAAGAGAAAGAAAATTAGAACTCAATATAAACAAACAAAAGAATGTACCTCAAAGAGAAGAGAGAAAACAATACTTACCTACCATCACAACCAGAACAAAATAAATGGTTAATCTACGATCAAAGGTAAAGTGCAGGTTAATTGGTTTTATGTTTTTTTATTTTATATTTTGTATTAATCATTTTTATATGAATATTTTTGGGTTGTGGAAGGAATCATCTGAGTTTCCATTATTTCTAATGGGAAAATTCATTTTGATATACGAGTGCTTTGGATCACAAGCACGTTTCCGGAACGAATTATGCTCGCAATCTGAGGTTTTACTGTGTTTGGATATCTAGGTCAGGTTTTCCAAATGGTCCCTTCCCTCATCATAACAGACATTTGTTTTTACAAAGTGTTCAACTCTTTTCTCAGGTTATTCAATGGCTGTTCCATTGTTCCGTGGCACAAACAACCAGAACACTGTCATTTTAGGAGCCCCGCGATATCAGCACAAAGGAGGAGTTATTATTATGATAAATAAAAGAGTACACAAGGTCCTTGAAGGCATGCAGGTTTGTCTTACATCTTACAGTAAGTCTTCTGTACTCATGTAATAATTTCATTCTCAGTTCTGACCTTATGAAATGCTGAAGTGATGTTACAGAGGAAACCATTAGGAATATACAATGTATAGAGTTATGTTAATCAGACACTCTACTCACTCGGCATGTGTTAATCTAGTGTCTGCATCTGGATAATGCAATCAACTTAAATAATACAGGCAAATATCTATGGTTTCGCAGGTGCAGTGGAATATCTTCCATGACAGAGTGCTTCATGTGGACTGGAATTATGGGAAATGTCTTCGGTGGTTTTATACTGCACCATGAAAATAATCAAAAAACAGTTAAAAATATATAATAAATTAATACTAATGGAATCAAATATCCATAAATCACACATAATATTGTAGAACTATAACAATGATGCAGTATAATAATAGTCTTCAATATTGTGATGATTTTTGCTAAGCATTAATAGGTCTCACAAAGAAATGTTCTTACTAGTATCAGTAAGAACAAGAATAATTTGGCCTCCCAGATTAGACACTTTCATCTGAAAATGATTTCATGATTATGTTAGAACCTGTTCCTGAGGTGACTCTCACCTCCCCACCAGACTATTATTCTATATCTATTTATATTATTCTATATCTATTTATTGATAGTTGTCACTGTTTCACTGTTTTTGCTGCTGCTGTATGATGTATTGTTTATGAACATATTGCACATTGTATATAATCCTTTCTGTCTGCCCCCCTGTTTCACACTGTCCTGTGTTTTGTGCTTTATGTATTGGGAAAAGCCTCCCCCTATTATGACAGTTGTGTGTTGCACTGTGGTTCAGGGGGAATACTATTTATGGGAATACTTGACTTGATAGAAATTAAAAAACATTTGCAGCTGAACACCCTGTGATGCAAGATATAATTATACATTTTAAAAAACTGTTCTCTCCTCTCAGATTGGTTCATATTTTGGCGCTGAGGTCTGTGTGGTGGATTTGAATTCGGATTCCAGTACTGACCTATTACTCATATCGGCTCCAATGTACATAAATACAGACAGAGACAGTGAAGGACAAGTGACTGTCTGTTCCCTGCAGGAT